GAATAAAACAAGTTACAGCCTGGCAAAAACTGCGGTCAACCATTATCGCGACGCCATTATAGTGGTGAATATTTTTATTTCGTGAGTAGTATATTTTAGCTCCGTCGACTTCCATTTCACCAGATCTAGGATATCTGGTCTCGCTTAGTCCCATTATATTGACTTTAAGTCGCCTCATCTCATGTATTACATTGTGGATCTTCTCTGCTTCATATATAGACTTCACAGTCCAGGTACCTATCTGCAGTTCGTTTATATATTTGTACCTGACGCGGGGTTTTAGCATGTTGGCGACCTGGGAGACCCCGCGGTCTAACTGACAATTGCCTCCCCTGCCGGATCTTCGTATCCGATGTTCATTATCAATAGTTGTGAAATTGTCATTTATAATAGCCATGATAATTGACAAGAGATATCTATTTAAAGATCTTTAATCTAGTGGTTTCTTTGCCTTCTACATCCTTCTGCCGTTGACCACTTCTTTGGTTCATCCGTGCTTGGAGTCGATTTCTCAACTCCAGGACAGAAGAGTGTCCTATCACTTACCAACTCATCCGCCTGTAGCCGTTGGTCAGTAAGTGAGAAATTACTTATACCGGAAATCACTCGGTCCCTACCTGCATTGGCCATCTATAGATAGATGTTGCTTATCTTCAACCCGTGGAGGTTGCAGATTTGGATTTTTATTTCATTGGGATTAAAACCTTTCGGCATTTCCTAATCCCTTCAGAGCTTTAGAAGACGGTGAATTTTTAGTATGGCATTAATCGATTACTCCAATATAATACAGAATATCCAAACAAGTTATTTAGAAAAACTGAAAGAAATTGCTCACAACGATAAGTGAGAATAAGTGTGAAGCAATCTCCAACAGGAAAGTCTACGTATTGGTCCACAGACCCTATGAAAGTTTCTGATTTAATAAACTTTTATATAATTAAGATCGTATCGAGCAACTATATACAAATAGAAGAAAACTTAAAAGCCAACTCGGATCATACCCCCATGCTATTAACTATTAGTAAAAATATCATTCAAAAGCCTTACAACGCTATATTGGTCAGCAACCAAAAGGACTGGGATAGCTTTAGAATTACACTGGAAGAAAGAATTGATTTAACAGTATCAATGAAAACTAAAGAAGACTTGGACGCTGAGGTGGAAAAATTCAATATTTATATTCAACAGGCCACCTGGGAAAATACCCCTGAACTACCAAGAAAATTGAAAGGAAAAAAGTGCCCTATGGAAATCTTGGAATAAATCTATGAACAAAGAAGAGCAAGAAAAAAATGACAACTACCCAGACCACCACAAGACAAAACAAAAGTAAATCACCTTGCCTCACAACTAAAGAGATAGATTTTTTTTTTAATTGTCAGATTCTAGTAAGATAGGGATTAGGCAATTTTAGAATGAATCCATTAGCGAATTCCTGATACATTTGACAAATGAATCCAGTACTGAATACTGGCTATGGAAAACCATCAAGAATTTATAGAGACCAATCTCGAAAGTGATTTCCAACCTTATATGGTAGACGTAGATGAATTTCTCCCAGAAGTTGTTCAACAAGATGATAAACCACACCAAAATGTTAAAAATGAAATCTACACGAACGTTAATTACAAAAATGCCTTCGGCTACAATCTGGTAACTGGTCAGCTTCTTAAGGAGCTACATAGAAAAGCTCTGGTTAAACTTATCAATCTAAGTAACACATCGTTTCGTTTAAATTAAGTTCAACAACTAATATGGAAGGATCTGAGATCATTATGAAAACAAAACCAAACAAACCGCTTTATGAAAACACGTCTTATCGGCCAATATCTATTTGAAAAGCTATTGCTTAAGAGGCTGAAACCAATTATCGAAGAAAGACGACTCATCACCAATTTGGATTCCGAAATCAGCACTATACAATTGATTAAGTCCACCGAATTACGGATTTTTAGTATTCTATATTGATTTCTCCTTGCTATACGTCCCAGATAAGACATTTTTTGCTGTTTAACAGTCTTCAGCAATTCTCTATCTTTGTTGACGCTCCTTAGTACTTTCTCATTAGTTTATCTTGCTGTCCAAGATATCTTCAGCATTTGTCCATGTATTTGAGTATCATCGTTATCACCCAGCTCTTTGCGTCCATTGCTGGACATAGGCCTCCCTCATTTTTGTCCATTGTGCTCTATCTTGAGCACTTTTCATTCAATTTCTTGACATTTTCTTGAGATCGTCAGTCCAATGAGTAGGAGGTCTTCCTCTACTTTTTTTGTCTAGCTTCGGCCTCCACTTAAGCAATCTCTTCATCCACATTTCATCACTGATTCGGGCGACGTGCCCGGCCCAGTTCCAGGTCATTTCAATGTGACAATTCGGGAAATTACATCGGTACCTCCTGTTCTTCGTCTTAAGTCGAATATAAAACGATATACTCAGCATGGACCTTTTCGTTTTCATCTGAGCTATTTGCAGCGCTTTAGAAGTTGTAGCTGTCAATGTTAAAGCTTCACACGATAGGTCATCATGGGCAACACACAGTTTTAAAGAAATTCGTATATCGCTTTTAAAAAGTCTTTGAGTTTTCCATAAGTTGCCCATGCTAGGTTTATTCTTTTTCGTAGTTCTCATGTTTAATTGTCTCTTGTGATCTTTATTTCCTGTTCAAAGTATACGTATCTTTCCACCAGTTCAACTTCGTTGTCTCCAATATTAATTTTTCCGCTAGGTACTAAATTTGTAATGAATTTTCTTTTGGAAATGTTTAAGACCCACACTGGTACACACTAAGGACTGCCCACAACCAAGTGGTTAAAAAAAGACTTGCAGAATTGGCTGAGTTGAGGCTGAGCAAAGGAACTTTATTCGTTGTGTGCCCTTCATAAAGTAAAATTTAAAAATTACGAAATTGATGAAATTGCCAAAAATCGTGGAATGACAGTACTTAGATCCCCACCATATCATTGTGAATTAAACCCGATTGAACTGGTATGGGCACAGATAAAGAGTGAAGTTTCAAGAAAAAATACCACTTTTAAAATTCATGATGTTAAACAGTTGTTTTTGGAGGCCGTAAATAATGTAAAACCTGAAAACTGGGAAAAGGCAGTAAATCACACTATTAAAGAAGAGGAAAAAATGTGGAAGCTGGACAATATTACTGATAAAATGATCGAGCCAGTTATTATAAATCTTGGTTCTGAAAGTTCATCTTCTGAATCTGATTTGGATTTGTAACAAGTAGCTGTAAGTTTTATATTAATATTTTTGTTCATCTATTTAACATACCTTAGACGGTTTTAAAAACTCTTTTTCTCTTTTGTAATTTTTAAAAATTAAAAAAAATGTGATTTTTTTAAAACCCTTTTTAATGTAGGCCAGTCAGTTCTAATATAGTGTGTGATAAAAGAGGTCACTTTTGTTTACATACACATAACACTTTATAACACTGAAATAATTCATTTATTTTTTACAATTATTCAAAGTAATTTTTCAATTAATCTTGAGCACGCCCATGGAGTGGTCGGAGGTACCAGTTAAAATTATGCTAATTACTCTCTCATTCATAAAAATAAACTATAGATCGTATTTTAACATACCTGTTTCATCGATTTTGAGTTTTGATTGATTTGAGTTTCATTGATTTGAGTTTGGCTGCAGGAAGTGCAGCCTAATTTTTTTAAAGACATTTTGTTAAATAAAAATATAGAAATCAGAGACATTCGAATCATATGAATCTTCTATTCGAATCAAACAGAAACAAGACAGATAAAGAAAAACATGAAGCAACAAAGTAACTGAAAGTTTTAATGGTACAAGACTTTAAAAAAAATATATTAGATGATACAGAAATAGAAGAGGATATTCAAAATGGTTAAAATAGTAACGTCAACGTCATAATTATCCTCTGTCATTAAAAAACTTGTGGTAAGCTTATTGTCACATAACAATAAATTTTGACAATATTGTGTCAGTTATTTCTAACAGAAAGTCACAAGAATGCCACATTCTTGCGAAATATTACTACCTGACTACGTTGAGAAGAAGTTTGAAAGTTTGGGTTACAGATCCAATTTTCGAAAACGATGGCTGAAGCTGTTAATAATATCAGAAACTAATCCTCTTGCGTGTTTATACTTCAAAAGTGAGAAATCAATGCGGAAGGAACAACTAAGACAAATAAGTTGCGGTTATACTTATATTATCCACCCATTGAGCAAATTCAGGCAATGGTATGAGGTTTATCTGTTGCTGTTTTACGTCATGATGTTAATTGTGAAACCTCTGGATACATGTATAAAGAGGTTTAAAATTACTGCAAGGCATAGAACTGTTTCAGTAGCTCTAGACTTTTTATCATTTGTTGATATTGTCACAAACTTTTTCACTGGATATATAGTAACTAAGACCAAAACTATAGAGCTAGACCCATGGAAAATTGCCAAGAACTATGTGTTTGGACCGTTTTTTATATCAGATGTTCTAGGATCTATGAAGTTTTTGATATTTTTGGGGATGGAGCACCCACCATTGATCTTCATTGGTATTCAAAACATCTTTTGCTTCTCTAGAGCGATTAGAGTGTGGACTCTTATGAAATTGATTCTAAGAGCTTCAGCGCTTACCAACATCAAGTCAAAAACCACGTTGTTTACGATTTGCTCCATAACTTTGTTTCTGTTTATTTTGCACTTCTTTACATGTTTAGTGATTGGCTTAAAAATTATTATTAGGTATAATTTTCAAGCTCCAGACCCAGAGAATACTTCTGATATCAATGTCTACGAGGAATACATTGATTATATGTTCAGAAGTTCAGCCTATTTGCTAGGAATAACGCTTCCTCAAGTCTATTTGAAGAGCACTTCAAGCAAACAGAAGACTTTGTTACTGCTGTCTTTGGTTATCTGGTAGGAAAAATATTAATAATATCGACTTGGATCATCATTGCTCTAAGTATTTTAGCCAACAGGTCGACCAAAATAAAATACCAGAAAATTATGAATGAACTGGAAGAATATATGATACAAAAGCAACTCCCGATAAATTTGAGGAAGAAGATCACCACCTATTACCATTTTAAATATCAAGGAAGTTACTTCAAAGAAGACTTAATCACCTTCTTGCTTTCAGATAATCTCAAAAAGGATATAAACATGGGGATTTGTAGATACTTGATATCCAACGTGTCCATTTTCAAAGAACTTTCGAAAGATCAAGTCAGCGATATAGTGCAGGTTCTGATATCGGAAATCTTCTTACCCAACGACGCAATAATTCAAGCAGGTACCATTGGAGAAGCGATGTACTTTTTGGCTAGTGGCACAGTTGCTGTTTACACCCATTCTGGCAAAGAAATTTGCCATTTACAAGACGGCGCATACTTTGGAGAAATATCTCTAGTAGTGAAGGGACAAAAAAGATCGGCAAGTATTAGTGCAGTCGAAATTTGTCACATTTACAGATTGAAGAAGTCTGATTTTCAAAAAACGTTGATGAAGTATAGGCAGATATATCAGTCGATCATAAATACTGCTGAATTGAGGTTAAAGGAGACCTCGCACGTGGAGGAGACGTACAAGAAAACGTTATTTGAAGAAACTTATACTGATTCAACAGTACGTGAACAATTACAGTCGCAACATTAGTATTTAAACAGTATTTGTAAACTTGTAGAATTAATGTTAATGCTCCGTTTTGATTGTACTTGTTTTTCGTTTGTAAAAATATAAACAATATTTTGGTGACTGTTCTTCTTTTTTAGTCTCATATCTCCATTAGCCACTATATTATTCAGCTTTCTAGATTTTCTATAAGAAGAAATTGTACCAAAGACGTTAAAACAATATGTAACAACAACAACAACTCAAATTGTAGTGGTTGAAAAGAAACAGGCGTACGATCTCTCTCTGTCTTTAATCCTGACCCCCCAGGAGGAGTGTAGTGGTCGACGTGATGTCGTATATTGTCCGTCTCCAGAGATCTCTGTCTCTGGTCATTTCTTTTAATTCATGCATAGATCTTTGGCATATTTCTGTAATTTGATCTATCCATCTTGTTGGGGATCTTCCTCGTGATCTTCGGCCTTCTACCTTTCCTTGTATTATGAGTCTTTCCATGCTTTCTGTGTTTGCTCTCATAACATGCCCAAAATATTTTAATTGTTGGAGATGGACTTTACTAGAGAGTCGTTGGCTAACTTTTAGCTCTCTTAAAATTGAATTATTTGTTCTGCTCGGTCCAAGGAATTCGTAACATTCGTCTCCAACAGAACATTTCAGTGGCGTCTATCTTTCTTCTTCTCCGATTGTCTCAGAGTCCAAGATTCACATCCGTAGGTCAGTATTGGGAATATTAAGCAGTTGATCAACCTCATCTTTATCGCTCTTGAAATTTGACAGTCCTTCCATATTTTGGTCATTTTTGCTGTGGCAACTTTTGCTAGATCACATCTACGTTTAATCTCTTCTTGTAATGATCCTGTGTTTGTGATTAATGATCCCAGATATAAGTATGAGCTCACAACCTCGAACCGGTCAATTGTGGTTATGTGTGGATGATTGTTGTGTAGTCTATCCACTATCATGATCTTTGTCTTTGATATGTTTAATTGCAGACCAAATATTTGACTTTCGTTTTCGATCAGTCGTATAAGTTCCATCAGCTCTGCTTGACTATTTGCAAGAAGGGCTGTGTCATCTGCGAAACGTAGGTTGTTTAGTTTATGACCATTTATTGAGATGCCCTTTTCCCATCCTTCAAGTGCTCTTCGCATAATATACTCGCCATATATGTTAAATAATTGTGGAGATAGTATACATCCTTGTCTGACACCCCGTTCTGGATGAAACTCGTTCGAAAGTGTGTCAAGTACTTTAACTGATCCAGTAGTGTGTTCATATAGTTCAGTTATAAGCGTAATTAGATGTTGTGGTACGCCTACTTCTTTTAGTATTCGCCATAAGTGTCTCCACTTGACCTTGTCGAACGCTTTACGGTAATCTATAAAACAGATGTATAGTGGGATGTTGAATTCCCTAGATTTCTCGATTATCTGTCTTATATTCAGCAGGTGTTCTCGAGTGCCTCTACCTTTGGTAAATCCAGTTTGCTCTTGTGGAATTTCTCTTTGAAGAAATGTTTTCAGTCTCTCATTGATTATATGTAGCATTACCTTGCTGGCATAGGATATAAGAGAGATAGTTCTAGTAATTGTCGCATTTATGGAAGCTGCCTTTTTTATGTATGGTCGTTATTGTAGATTTTGTCCAGTCTTCGGGCCATTGTTTGGAATGCCATATTTGGTTACAGAGTAAATGAAGTAACTTTACGCCGGTTTCTTCTGTGGCTTTAAGCATTTCTGCTGTTATCATATCTGGACCTGGTGCTTTGTTATATTTGACCTTGTTGATAGCCTGTCTTACTTCATTTTCGAGTATATCAGGTACTTCTTCCACCTCGTCATAGATTTGGCTAACAAGCTCTTGGCGTTGATCATCTTTATATAGGTCCCTGCAATACGATCTCCATGTCTCTGCTATGTCTTCTCTGTTTGTTCTTAGGGTTCCAGTGTTATTTTCAATGATTGATTTATCAGCCTTTAATTTTTTGGATATGTTTGTTTTTCCCTGCTTTATGTATGGTTGTTACATAAGCGCCTTTTTATCAATTTGGAAAGGCCTAAATCTTTCCTCAAGAATGTCGTTTATTACGTTAATTGAACAAACGAGTGATTTAGGAAAAAAATATTTCTGAGCTTTTTTGGAAATTTCGTCCTTCAGTCCTTCAATAGCTTTTCCTGATTAGCTCGCTGGGGAGGTGGGAGTTATTATTAATTATCCTTGCTTTTTGGGGTTTCTTCGTACAATTCTTCACCTTTTTTAATAAAGTCAATGTCTTCTCAGCTGGTGGTAATTTGGTACCACTGAGAAGAGAGTATACACATTCTTTTCCGAGTTCTTCACTTCACCTTTGTCATCTGTAGTTTTTAATTAAGGAAGGAATTAATTTCCTTCGTTCCGCAGAATTCTTTGGAGCTCTACATGCTTGGACATTATTCTTTTACTTTCTCCATGGTTTTTCCACACGTGAGACCTCTGGTTTTGGAGTACTTGCTCATCTTGTCGATTTAATCAATTTGCTCTATTTCTGTCTTCTTGGTTCCTCGTTCTTCTGGTTTTTTTGTAGGTTGGTTTTTTCCCCTTATTAATTCCTTTATTTCTTGGATAATTAACCTGATATAAATCTACCTTCTCTGATGTTGTATTTGTCTTTCATTGTGCTGTTTGTTGATGCTTCTTTTCATATGCTTATATATTCTAGGACTCGTTCTTCTCATTGCTGTTGGTGTTTAATTGCCTATTCTGTCACTGAGTTTTTGAAAGTAGACCTCTTGTGTATTGCAGAGGATTTTTTCTCATGTGTTTGTTTACAGTCCCCAAGTATGGGGATGTGGTCACCCGATTCTTGATGATGATGATGATGATGATATTGTGTTTGGCATGGAAACTAGTCTTTTTGCTACATATTTTAGCCACCTGATTCTTCTGCTAGTGATTTTATTTCAGTTTGTAGTCCTAGATTAGTTATGTTTGTACTATTATCATAGTTATGTTCAGATATGTCAATTTCTCCAAAGTGTTTGAAGTCGATTGGTCCTGTTACCGTGGTATCTTCTCTTTTTTCTAGATAGTTGTTCAGGATTCTTTCGTTTCTGTTTGTAGCTTTATCGTTTCAATTAGGACATCTGTCATTCAGGTTTCCTACCAGTATTGACGGTTTATCTATATTCAGGATCGCATCTAGGTTTTCGTTGGATAAAGAATTTCTTGGTTTGAAATATCCCTTATTGTTTATTGTCCCATCTGGACTGATATTGTTGTTACTTCCATCTTATTGTAATGGTTGTAATGTTGTCTAGATATCGTATTCAGGAAACTTTACTATCATGTTCTGGGTGAGTTTGGTCTTTCGTGTTCTTGTCTTGATCATTGACAATCTATTTATGACCTCAACTAGTAGTTGATTCTTAATCCTCCCGAATTTCAGGAGCCTTTCCTCAGATATCCCAATATCCGTTTGTTGAATCTTCAGCTACGTTGGAACAGAAAGTTCTTCATCCTTTCTTAGAACATTTTCGCAACCAATTGCTTGGTAAGTTCCTCCTGTGTTTTTTTATGGAATGAAGAACCCAGTGGTTGTTGTTGTTTTTTGGTTTAGCCGTTTGTTAGTCTTATGTTATGTTTTGCGGTGTTTAACTGAGGTGTTTGTCTGTTTTTGCCCCACAGTGCTACTGCTTGGTACCATTGCGCATGCTCTGTATCTGGATGGATGTTGGATGTTCCCTAGGCACCATACATTCTCACAAATATAATAGGCATATTGGTCGCGATGGAATTTTCTTGGCAGTTAATTATAGTACTCAATTTACGTGAAATGAGGAAAAAGGCCTAATCATTCTTTGTAATGATTGGTTTGTTGGTATTAGAAGCTGGTAGCAATAGTTTAAAAAAACATTACCGAAGCCATAGGAAAAAATAAAATAGTTTTCAAAAAGGCAGATCTACTAATGACAATGTTTTTATTGTAAAACAACCTATCAAAAATGTACAGAATCTAAACTAATACAAACATATATTGTATTTATAAATTTGGAAAGAGTACCCAATGTACACTGGTTTACAGCCATTTTAGACGACTTTTTAATCAAGCTACTCAAAATTATACATCAAATATATTCCTACCTAAAGGACTACTCTTCTACTACTTAGCGTAGTTTCCTACATATCGTTAATTTCCTACATGTTTCTGCTAATTTAATATTTCCCAAGTATTTAAAGCCATATTATCAATTAAGATGTCCTTAACAACATCCGTGATCTTCGCCACTAAGGTCTTTTGTAACATTAGTTGGCCAATTCGTTAAGGGCCTGATTTTTAAGCAACTGTAACACATTATGAGAGGGTTCCTAATTGGTAGCTTCCTGGCAAGTGGCAGTTCACAGTGAACCTGCCATACGGCCTAATTAGTAATTATACTATCAAGTTGAAGATATGGTATAATGAAGAACGTAATAAGAGGATTTAGCGTAGGATGGTAACGTTTCACTTTCGTTTCTTTTTTTATTCAGAGGTGTATTTGGAAATACGGAAGTCGAAATGTGATTAATAAATACTTTGTTGAACACTTTGTCGTTTACTCTCATGGTAATTATCAGAAACTAAATGATTTCGAAACATATCAAAAATGTATCTTTAATAATTTAATTGAAGTGATTAATTTGTCTTATATATTAGTTATGTAAATCATTTACATCAATCAAAAGTTTACTGTAAATCATTATTTATTGAGACCAGGACTTCAAATACATTTTTTGGAAGATTTAAGAACATTTTTGTGGATAGTCCATCAGTACTAAAGGAAAATGTGTTCAGATTTATCAACTGGTCTTATAACGAATGAATTCGAGACCATAATTGAATTGTGGAGATAGGAAATAGGATCTTATTGTAGTAAAATAGTTGATGTTATATTTTTACTCACATTAACGAAGTATTCATTTAGATTTTCAGGGTTTGGAAGAGAAAATGTTTGAGCTGTGTAAGTTTTATTTCAGAGATCGTTTATTTTGGACCAAGTTTCTCTTGC